TGATGTGTTAGCTGATACTCCTCTGCCGATCTCCAAATCTCCACAACGTGAGGATGTTTTGACTATAACTCTCACCACAAACACACACACACATACATGATGTAGCGCAGACAGATGCGCCCCTGCACAGACTCCACCTGAGATGTGGGTCACGTGAAGGGCGAGCGGGTGTATATAGGTGTGCGCCTCCCTTGCTGCTCAAAAAGCATGCATCAAATTAAGTGTGTGTTTGTGGTTTGCACTGCATGACGGGTTCAAAGGAAAACCTCCAGGTATACATTACCGCTGAACCCTCTCACCTGGCTGAATGGAGATTGATATCTGTAAGGATTAATACACACACACACACAGAGAGAGAGAGAGCAATAAAAATGACTTATGACGCTCTCTCCTTCAAACTTAATGAGAAACTCTGTGCACATACACCAGTCTGTTTGTTTTAAACCTGAAAACAATGTCAGCTTAAGTTACAGGAACATAGCTGCTTTGTCTTTGATTTTAGGGGTTTTTTTTATCCCGCAAGTTTGGAAATTTAGACAAAGACATGCAACAAAAGATCATTTCTTTCAATCTCTTGTGCAAGCAGTGACATCAGGGCAGACTGCCTCCACTAGGGGGACTCAATGAGCGCTTTAATGGAGAAAGGGGAACTTTGATTCCCTAAAGAGTGTTCTTTCACACTAAATTAAAGGAACGCTCCAAAACACACAGCTAATTTACTATTATCTATTGAGACATTAATGACCATTTGTGAAAGTTCAGTGACTGTTTTGTGTATCATTCTGCTCAAATGTCATAAAACCGTTAATATAGCAAGTAACTATGTTAATTAAAGTTTTTTAGTTCATTTTCTCTTTTTTCCACCCTTTTAACAGTTTACTTCAAGGTCCTTGATAAACCTTCATGGCCTTGGTGAAATATTGCAGTAAACTTAATCTCTGTCATACCGAGACAACTTCCAAGCAAAGCAGGGAAGAGGTCAAACCATAGTTTTGATATATTACAGCTGAAGGAGAGGAAAGAGCTTCTATCTGCTGATTTATTCTTCATCTCTAATCACTTTATAAACTCTGATTTTTTAGTCTTAGACCTCATCCTGTGCTGTTTTTGTTATTTCACAGGATGCTCATACTCTGTTCAGTGTTCCAGTTGCCATCAAAACACTGAATCTAATCCATAAAATCTTCAAAAACACAAATGTCTCCTGCATAATTTGAAAAACATGAAAAACCCCACTCATACCACGCATAGCTGTGTTAGAGGACTTGACACAGCGGGCAGACCTGATTGGACACGCCTGGTGTGTGGTGGGCGTGCAGTCACGCCTCATTAATAATTAATGAGGAGGGAATATTCATGGAATATTACATGAGGAGCCAGAGTGAGAGACACTTGCACTGATTTGGTGATGCATCGGCATCCAGACATGTTAGAGATCTACAGCTGAGGATGAGGAGGCGCTAGTTTAAACAGATGTGGAGGGCGAAGAGAGGAAAAGTGCGAGCGCGCTCATACACTTCCCCACCTGTGTTGCTGTTTCTGAATCATCTCTCAAATGCAAAGACTAATCAGCTGCACTAAATATGGGTTTCATTTCTCTACACTTCAGTGTGAGTCTGAAAGCAGCTGCTGTCAACTTAAAGCACACCTGCACACACCTGGAGAGAAAAACGCACAGTTCCCTCTTTCAGGACACCCAAACAAAATTACGCACAAAAGACTGAACAGCAGCCCCGCTGTTCGTGGTTCAATCCGAACACAAGCGGGCTCTTAAGCAGGGGGAAGCATCGGCGCGCCGCTTTCCCTCCACACGCCGAGTTTAGAATCCGTCTGAGTTCTTGACGCGAGAATAGAAATAAAATACAAACACAGGGCGGAAAAAAATAACCGCAGGTAAGCGAAACGCGAAGATGCGCACGAAGGGGGGCAGGACAGAAACTCCGTCCGATTTCCCACCAAGAAAATCTGCAGGTCCTGCGAAGGTGATCCTAGCAGTCAAAAAGCCATGAAAGCTGAGCGCGGAGGTGTATCATTGGTGTAATTACATGGTTTTTATTTGTAAGTAAAACGGAAACGGCAACCGGGATCATTATTATTAGAGCAGAAGCACTTGTTATAAAGCAGACTCTCTATTTTAGAAACTTTACTCGCTCGCTGAGGAAGCCGGTGGGTCTCTGCAGGTTCTCCTGCAGCGGGGAAAAAATCAGTACAAGGAACTGGAAGCTTACTTACCGCAGAGTCGGATCGCTGCACCTCGGCGCACAGGACTAGGAAGAGCAGAGTCGCACCGAGCTGTCGCAGGCACTTTGAGTCTTTACTCATCTTTTGGGGGGAATAAAACAAAGATCCGCCTGCGTTAGCACTGTACTTTGGGGCTCTTTATACGCGTGTCATAGCCCTGCTCCCCCCCACGCACACTGTGGAAAAGAAATAAAGAAACTCGTTCTTCTTCTCGGCGTGTCGGCGGTTGTTGTGCTTGCAGAGACTCCCAGTGGTCCTGGCTCTGGCACCGTGCGCCTCTGCAGTTCCCTCTCTCTCACTGAACTCGTAAACCTGCCCACCGGATCTACTTTCCACAAGCGGTGCGCAGTGATATCAGGGATGTGCACCTTCCCCAAGACAGATAATTAATTAAAAATAAATTTGGGGTGATTTGCGAAACAAGATCTGGTCGTAAGTGTGAGCCACGAAGGTCCAAATGCCCAAAAATGTTTCGCGTGTTAAAGTATGCTGTAAATAATCATTATGTTTGAGCCTCGCGGATGGATATTCTTTCTCCTGCCTATCAACTCCAGACCACCGCTCGAGGCTGTGAGTTTGACATTAAACCTTTTCTTTTCTTTTCCTTAGGCCCCGGCACGTTACATTCCTGCCACTTTATTACAGGTCACTTTCTCCCGACGAAGGAAAGCTGCTAGTAGAATAGTACAGAATAAAACCTCGGTCCTATAAAAACGTACCTGTTGTCTCGCATAAAGACTGTTGCATGAACTTATATGAACACATGCTGCTGAAGTTACTGTGTGATCAAACTGTATGTGCACACACTGGGACTGATAAGCACACATAATCACAGTAAGCAACCATCTCAGCATCCAACCTTTGCAATATTACACTATCTGTATTACAATCACTGGAGTGAAAGAAACCAGAATCAAGACCTGCAGTGGAATAATTTAAAGGTGCACTTTTTGGGAGGATTTTATTGTGAATTTTTAAAGCATCACAGTTTAAGTGATTCTTGCATTTTTGTATTATTTAAAAGTCATCTAATTACAAGTTGGACTTAACATTTTCTCATCTTAAAACATGAAATACGTTGTGTAACTTTCTAAAAACTTTGAAAGCTCTACTGGGTTTATGGTTAGGATTGAAATTGGGACTGTAGAAAATAAACATATGAATAAAAACTATGTAGCAAGTCCAAAACTGAAGAGGACCTAGTTAGGATCCCTGTGGTGCTCCACAGCTAAACAACCTGCAGAAAAGTCTATGCCAGAAACACAAGACACAAAAATTTAAGATAATACACTGTAATAAAGGATTTTATAGCCCCCCTAGGGAGAACACGGTGTTGCAAAGCTAAAAGAGTACTCTGCTTAATTCAAGAAGTTTTATGCATTAGCAGAGATCAGGGCAAAGTACATGTGATCCCTAACACTGATCTGCAGTTAAAGTTTTTAAATGTATCATAAGGAGGATGTTTGGGTGAATGGTATGAAAACACATTTATTAATTTTAAGATCCATCATGTTGATTCTTTGGGGACTAATTTTGCATCAAGTGTCCTAAGGTCATTGTAAACTTCAGTAACCACCTGAGTGCTAACAATGGTGGGGTTTTGTTTTTATGTGGAATAAAAGTCTTTGTAGTCTCTGAAAGAACTTCTGTATGTTGTTGCTTTTTCACTGATTAAAACCTGGACTGCAGACTTGCTTTACACCGCTGTGCCTCCTTTGCTGGTCCGAACCGTACTAGGTATGTGGGGGTACCTCGGTGGCAGTGAGAGGCATGGAGGCATGTGCTGGCCCCTCCTCTTCGCTGAGGCTGCTGAGTTGAAGCGCACCAGTACGAAGTGCGCAGCAGCGACTGCACCGCTGAAACTTGGGTGAGTTGGACAAGCTCTGATTTTTATGAAAGAAATCGCCAACAAAACGTGTGATTTCAACGCTGGCTGGCTGTTAATGGTTGGAGCTTTATGTGTTAAAATTGGGGCGTTTGTCAGTGGGACTACTTCTCTCCCTCTCTCTCTCTGTCTTCGGGTAGATGACAGGGGTTTTTTTGGAGCCGTCGATGAGCGCGTTTGAAGCGGTGCCTTTCTGGTGAAGATAAGGGGATCGAGCTCTACCTGTGGTCCCCGCCTTCCGCCAGTCGGATCAATATGAAAGTCCTGTAAGGGTTTATTTTTTGATTTCTTTTTAAAACGGCTCTGTAAACTTATTTCTGCAAAGTTAGTTTTCGGCTTTGCAGGCTGCCTCTGTCGTTGCTGTACCTGTCGACTAATAAGTTCGGAGGGAAATAACTAAAAGAGTTATTTTTGTTTCGCAGGATTTGTGTGATCGCGTTGACCTTCGCGGCGAGGTCTGCACTCGGAGTAAGTCCCTTTCGTTTACTGTGACACTGCTTCAGGTGGAGAGGATCCCCGCTTGGTTTATTTAGCGCAGATGAAACTCTTAAACAACCGATTTAGATGGAGCTGTGTTTCGTGAAAGAGCAGCTGAGCTGTGACCAAAATGGGGAGCTTGGTGTCTCGTTAAAAACAAGTGCGATAGCTGCATGACTTACGGTGTTACAAAGTTACTGTCATACATCGCCGACACACAGGTCACCCATGCTGTGCATGGCCTCTGCCTGAAGCATATGGTGATACTTTTATACATTTCTATTATATTTTCTCTAAAAAACTGTATTTATTAAATAGAGTCAGTTTTTCAGTGCTATTTGTTATTGTCATTTAAAGTAAATAACATTTGCAGACGAGCTCGTTGCA